CAAATCACAATCATTTTTAAAGTAGCCAGAAGAAAAAAAGAAAAGAAAAATCATGTAAAGAGGAACATAAGAATGAGAGAAGACTGCATCAGAAATCATCTCTAAGGGCGCCTGAGTGGCTCAGTCGGTTAAGCGTCTGCCTTCGGCTCGGGCCATGATCCCAGCATCCTGAGATTGAGCCCCATGTCCGGCTCCATGCTCAGCAGGGAGCCTGCTTCTCCCTCTCCCTCTGCCGGCCTGTCTGCCTACTTGTGATCTCTCTCTCTCTCTCCCTGTCAAATAAATAAATAAAATCTTAAAAAAAAGAAAGAAATCATCTCTAAAGTAGTAAAAGCAAGAAAACAAAAACAGAAGCCTGTGAACCTAGAATTCTATACCTAGCAAAAGTATCTTTTCCCCTAAAAAAGACAAACAAAAGAAAAAAAAATGTATCAGCAGCCAACCTACATTATAAGAAATGTTAAAGGAAATTCTTCAGGCAGAAGGAAAATGTTACCAAAAGGAACTCTAGGGGTGCCTGGGTGGCTCAGTCAGTTAAGCGTCTGCCTTTGGCTCCACAACTAGGTACTTATTCAAGAAAAATGAAAACATATATCTACACAAAGCTTGTACATAAATGTTCATAATAGCTTTATTTTTATTTGGAAAAAATCCAAATATCCTTCTGCAGGTGAATGGATAAATTGTGGTGCATTGATATAATGGAACACTACTGAGAAAGAAAAAAAAAAAAACACTACTGATAGGGGCGCCTGGGTGCCTCAGTTGTTAAGCGTCTGCCTTCGGCCCAGGTCATGATCCCAGAGTCTTGGGATCGAGCCCCGCATCGGGCTCCCTGCTCCGCGGGAAGCCTGCTTCTCCCTCTCCCACTCCCCCTGCTCATGTTTCCTCTCTCACTGTCTCTCTCTGTCAAATGAATAAATAACATCTTTAAAAAAAACAAAACACCCTACTGATACATGTATAAATGTAGATGAATTTCAAATAATTATACTGAGTGAAAGCCAGAAAAACAAAGTATATATTATACTATGTCATTTATATAAAAATGCATATTAACCAATAGGGTTAGAAAGCAGATCAACGATTTTCAGAGGTAGGGAGAAGTGGATTACAAAGGGGTATGAGGAAACTTTGGGGCTGAAAAAAAAGACACAAATAACTCATATCAAGAATGTGAGGGGGCGCCTGGGTGGCTCAGATGGTTAAGCGTCTGCCTTTGGCTCAGGTCATGAACACAGGGTCCTGGGATCAAGTCCCACATCAGCCTGCTTCTCCCTCTGCCTCTCTCTCTCTCTGTCTCTTATGAATAAAGAAATAAAATCTTAAAAAAAAAAAAAA